GTTGTATCCGCTGGCCGGCGGGGAGCAAAGTAAGATCGAGCACTAAAAATAAGCACTAATAATGGTTTGCACGTTCAAATCACTGTTCTAGGAATTTGCCCCCAAACTGAGGCGAGGCGTTAAGTCTTAAGTGAGGGTTGCACCATCCTAAATTTTAAACCGTATGTCTTGTATTTTAAGTTAACATATTCAAATGAAAAAAAATAAAAAAAGAAGTTGTGGTTATTTTTATATGGCAGATAATTGCCCTCATCGATCAGGACTTTTTCCCAACCACAAAAAAACCCCAAACCCTCATTCAGATCTCGGCAGAGTTCACTTGGGTGCGGGGCAAACCAACTCCAGTCTCATGAAGCAAACACGTGTTCCACGCATATAAGGCCGTCATAAAAGCCTGTGCTCCACCTAGCTGGGAGGGACTGTAAATCAGTTTCTGAGAGTGTCGAAAGACATCTGAGGTTTTGGGGGGGGTGTTTCCACCTACTTGTCCCAGCTTAGAGCAGTACCGGAGAGCTTGCCTGTGAAACTGTTCTTGCTGGCATTGGCCCTGTTGCGGTACGGAGCGCAGCGTTATTTCTCCTGAGCTTCCACCATGGTGCTGTTCGCTGTTTGGAGAAACAGGGGGAAGGAACGTTGTGCAAGCGTTCTGCCACGCAGGAGTGTTGTGGTCTGACCAAAGACTGAAGTTAAGCAGCTTTCGACTCTTCTAGGTTTATTTGCTTGTGGTCTTGAGCAAGTTGCTTTTATTGGGAGTAAGTCATGATAAATGTAGGTCTCCCTATGCTTTTTATGACGGAGTTAACTTCGTTTCCGTGTCTTTTGTTGAATGGTATTTTAGATGTAGGGAGGAAAATGCTGCAAATACATTTGGACAGTTAATATGAAACACCAGAAAAGGAATTACGAACGGGGTATTCCAGTGGGGTTTTTAGTGTTTGTTTTTCTGGTGTTTTAGCTCTTTGTCATGGTGTACAAGAAAGGCAGAGCATAAAGCCAGTACAGACGTGTGCTTTTAGACAATGCATAGTTCTATAGGGAACTAGATAATCATCTTTTTGTGGTAACTATTGTGCCATACCTGGAGAAATCCTTCCAATAGTCAAAGCAGTTGCTCATTTTTACGTATGACTGTTTGTTTTATTTTAGGGTATGCTATGACTGGCTTCAGACTCCCCATCACTACTTTTAGAAAATTAAATGTCTGGTTTGGACTGTGGGAAAAATTCCCCTCTAATAAACTGTATCTCTCTTGGAGGAGAAGCGTATTCTGTAGCTGTCAAGCAAGCACAGTAAACTACAGAAGATGTTTCAGCTTTTCCCCAGTAAAACTCTCTGCACTAAGACTTTCTCCAGAGTATGTCTCAGTACTTTCTCTGCGGAACAAAAGTAACAAAAGCTCTAAAAGGAGCAGACAAACCGTGCAAGAAGAAGAGGAGGAAGAGGACGAAGATGAAGAGGAAAGCGATTTGGAAGATGAATTTGAAAACGACCCCAACGTAGTAAAAGATTACAAGGATCTTGAAAAAGTCGTACAGTCTCTTCGGTACGATGTGATCATGAAAGCTGGTCTAGACATTGCAAGAAAGTAAGTATGGAAGAAACAACCTGCCAATGAGAAAGATGTCATGTACCTAAAATTTTAGTTTTCATACCCTTTTGTTGCTGGAATAACTCAGTGTTTGGGGCTTTTTTGGTGTAGCTGTTTTGAGTGTCTAAAAATATGTTTTGGATGCATGGGTGCTCTTGTTTGTTTCACCTTATCTCTCTCAAAACAGCCCGTTTTCTGCTTTTCACTGTCTGCAGTATTTCTAAGATTGCTGAGGAGGCATTGTCTATCAATTACTGTTTATTTAAAGTGAAGAAAACACAAAAGACTGTACAAAGTAGTACAAAAAGATCTAGTTTGAGTCTGAGGGAGTAAAATAATACGCTGCTTAATGGCTGTAGAAGTAGGTGAGGGTAAGTATAAACCTAACAAACTAGGTCAGCCAGGTAAACGTGCACTCTGTAAATATATCGCAGTGTTTGATCTAACACAACCTACAGAAGCCTTGTATTGCAACATTGTTAAAACAGAATATTAGTATAGCTCGATCACCTAAAAATTATTAAGCAGGCTGGTGCAGGAAAGGGGACAGTATTTCTTGGTATTCAGGAGGCAGGTCTTTAAAAACAGCCCTTTATTGCTTGCACCGGTGGCACAGAGCAGCTGTACTCTATTATTTCATTTAATATCTATGAAAGACTTTTTCGTTGCTTCCAGTTCAAGTCTGCCCTGACCTTAAATAAAGGTATCCTTTGTGTGCAAATGAGAGTTGTGGAAATGCGCCTTGCACATGAATGGTGTTCTTGTGTATCTGCAAAGAAACAATTGCATTTGGTCTGCTGCACACTGTAAATGCAATAAAACCTTGTTTTTCTTCAGTAAAGTAGAAGATGCATTCTACAATAATGAACTCAGGCTGAATGGAGAAAAACTATGGAAGAAAAGTAGAACTGTAAGACTTTTTAAAATTTAAATCTTTTCGTACAGTATGAGAAAATAACTAAGGCATGACCTCTTCTTCTCCCTCCTTTTACTTGGGTCAGAAGAGCTAACCACTAAATGGCTCTGCAGAGGTGAATGAATAGCATTGCTAACACCACTTCCATCTTTGCCTGTGTGACCAGTTCCCTGGGTAAGAGCTTGTTCCCTAAGGCAGACAGGAGAATTGGGGTATAAGCGAGTGAAAACTAAGGCTGAAAGTCAGGAGAAGGCGGATAGCAGTGAGGACAGGACTTTGTGAGTCGCTGAAGGCAGTGCTGATAGATGTGAGGTTGATGGAGTAGGAATGATTAAATCTTGGTGGAGCAGGCACCTGATTAAAGAAAAAGAGAGAGTTTGATGATAGAAAGGGGTTGAAAACTGGGGTAGCTCAGGAAAGGTTATCGTGTCTGTAACAGAGCACATGGGAACACAGTCAGGAGAAGAGCCAGGAGGGTTACGGGCCATACTCTTTCACAACAGAGCCCACCGGAATGGTGACAAGCATACTTCTGCCCACCCTTTATGTGAGGGTGATCCTGCGTGGTGGTTGCTGTCATCAAAGGGCAGTAAGCAGAGAAGTTTTCATTCCCGATCCCCTGAAGCTAAGGCTGGGTTTTGAGAGACATACTGCTTTTGAGACTTGTGAAAGGAGCACAAGCAGTTGACCAGCACTCTGGACTTTAAAACACTTTAAACTGTTTTAAAGGCAGGAGGGAGAACTTTGAGTTTTGCTGTTTTGTGTCTCTGTTGATTCAAAAAGATTGGCAGGAAGCAGCCTTCAGGAAAAAAATACACTGCATGACACCTTTTACACAGAGCTGGGTGTCGGTTGTAGAACAGGAAGGGTAAAGCTCTTGGCAGAGAAGGTCATGAGACGCTTAATTGCTTATTGCCAGGGCTTTCCTAGAATTTCATAGCTGGAGGATCTGTAACGGGTCTAGTATTGCCTGCCTTCCTCCCCTCCTGCGAGATAAGAATATTAAATGGAAAGAAAGGAAGAAAATTAAAATTGGAGGTAGACTGTGGGGATTTGTTTTCCCCAGGGAATGTTTATAATCGCTCTTCTTCTCTTTCTGTTTCCAGGTGAAAGTTGGGGACACACTGGATCTCATAGTAGGTGAAGATAAAGAAACAGGAACTGCTGTAGTTATGCGGGTAGTCTTAAGAAAAGTATCTGACAAAACTGAAAGTGAAAAATACAAAGTAGTTTTGAGGCGTTGGAAAAACTTAAAAGTGCCCAAACAGGATGTACTTAAGTAACAGGGGGTTGCATGTGGCAGCGTAAGATATTTGCAGAAAACCATATTTGTTGTTAAATACGAATTTTGGTTAAACAAAATTACAGTACCCTTTTTTAAGGGCTTGTGTCAGAATGTTATCTCCCTCTGCCGTGTACATCAATATCCATGCAATAAACCTGTCGATTATATAAAATTGCTTCCTTATTCCTTATCAGTTTGATCTTGGTTGACGATACCAACTCCATGCTTACATACACGGCTGCTAGACTGGGAATACAGAAGGGTACTGATTGCAGCTGTGTATTTCTAAGCAGGAAACTTCATGGTGACGGAGAATGAATTATGGCAGCGATACTCTGCTCTCATGGAGAAGGCAGATCAGTGAGGAGATGCGTGTAGTACTGCAAGTAGTACTTTTTTTTACGATTGCGTAGATGTTTAAAGATGCAGTAAATGTCTGGTTAATGGTTTAGAGGCATAGTGACCTTTTAAAAAAAAGGGTTTTTAAGAGGATGCAATCCTGGAAAGCTTTCCAAGGTGTCTTTGGTGATCCTTACGCTGCAGAAGCGAAGGGATTCAGCATAGCAAGCACCCAGAGGAACATGGTGGGCTCTACTTTCACTGTGGTCATTGCTGTCTCTGCTGCATTTGTTGGAGCTTGCACCAATGGCTATGGAAATAAAGAGATGGGATGTGTCCTCTGATACCCAGTTCCACTTTACCATTACTATTCTAAGTGCCTCCCACAGCCTCCAGGGATGCTGAGAGAAATAAGTAGAAAGATGCGTTACTGGTAATATGTCAGTGAGCTCCAGTTGTTGGTCAGCAACCATTCGTTACCTGTCAAGTGCTTATTAGTATGTACAGTCACGCTGCCTGTGACCTCCAGCAGTAGTAGCTTACACACAGAGCTGACAGGGCCGGAACAGGAGCCCAGGAATGCTTTGGGGCTTGAGAATAGCCAAGGTACAGATGCAAAGAAATGAACTTTCTGAAAGGGTCTGTTCTGCCGAAGATAAACCCAAGAGCAACGAAAGAAGCCAACGCCTGCCTGGCATCCCAGATGGGCAGGAAAGTTGCATCCCTGAAAGCCGTTGACGTAAGAAAGAGTACAGGCAGGGTAGTTCCTTGAGTCGGACATAATATGAATACAACATTAGGCCAAAACCCTAGATTTGAACTTCCAGAAAAGCCTGTTGGGAAGTAAAGTAGACAAGAGCTTGTGATAAGGACCTGGCTCTCTCCTAGTGATGACGGAGAGAGGCTTTTTACCAAGGCCTGTAATGACAGAGCAAGGGCCGATGGTTTTAAACTGAAAGAGGGTAGATTTAGATTGGCTATAAGGAAGAAATTTTTTACCATGAGGGTGGTGAGGCACTGGAACAGGCTGCCCAGAGAAGCTGTGGATGCCCCATCCCTGGAAGTGTTCAAGGCCAGGTTGGATGGGGTTTGAGGAACCTGGTCTAGTGGAAGATGTCCCTGCTGATGGCAGGGGGTGTTGAGATTAGGTGATCTTTAGAGGTCCCTTCAACCCAAACCATTCTATGATTCTATAATGACTGCCACCAAAAAACAGGTCTTCACTGACTGACAGAGGTGGAAACAGGCTTTCATAGGTTGTAAGTGTTGATCCACTAGTGGTATCAGCAAAGCAAAGGAAAAGAAAGGCAGACTTCCTGAGGAGTCTTCTGATGGGTGAGAGCAGCCTCTGTGGATTTGGGATTGAAACTGTTGGAGAGAGAACTGTACCCACTGGCTTCAGAAAAGAAAGCTTCAGTCACAGGCAGGGTGATCTCAGAGGAAAACTATGACAGCAGGAAGGTGAGTAGCTGTTCCGCTTAGCTAAGACTGATCTGTCATGCATAAGCTTCTCTATTGATCAGACCCTTTTACTGGGGCCTGGCAGTGTTGAGCAGGTTGTGCTTGTTTCTGCAGTGTTCACACGTTTGGACTGTGAGCTAAAGAAAGGCAAGGCTTGGATAATGACTGACGCGAGTGCCAGGCGAGCAGAGCCACCAGGCATTCTGGGAGGTGTAGGAGCAGGCCCATCACAGCCATGGCTTTTGCCAGACCTTCAGGGGGCTTTTAGACAAGGTAGGCTCATAGACTGTGCGTATTTAAAGCATGCATAAACTTATCTGGGGATCAGCTGTGCATCTTCCCTTCATCAGCCATGAATTTAAGGTGATGGAGTCCATCCGATAACATGGTCAAGCGTCTGGTCAGATGACACGGCAAAGTAGTAAGAAGTGGTCAAAGAAAAGTTTTGATGATCTTCCCAAAACCGCGACTCTGCCACTAGTCAACTACCGGATCTCCAGTGCCCCTGAGTACTGAGTGGTGGGAGACACGCAAATGCTTTTCCTCCCGCTCAGAGTTCAGGGTATGGTGAATTGGGTAAGCAGCTGCCGCTTCTGCCCTTCTGTCACTGCCATCATGAATTTCCTGCTCCGGGACACGGGCACCTGCCATCCTTAGTCTGCATGGTGGAGGAGCTATATGAAAGGGCTTCCTCGGGGAGATGCTGCTGAGAGCTCATTAAGGTTTGGATGGCCTGAGAAGTGATGGACACAGGAGGCTGCCCAGGACTATGCTGTCCGAGCCACCTCTCCATTAGCCACAGATTAATCCAACCTGACGCTGGTTGTCGGGCACGGAGCCCAGAATGGCCAGCGTGCCTGCCCTCGCACAGGGGGCTGACCTGATCCCAAAGCCTTTGCCTGGTCCTGTAAGAGGCAGGCGCCGTCAGGCTGCGGGTACCGGACCCAGCTGTCACTGGCACAGCAGGCAGCACCACCGGACAGCTCTGCCCGTTTCACCCGCTGCGGGGGCAATGTTACCCACCCGCTGCGGCATCTGCTGCAGGTGGGGCAGCCTGCGTCACGGAGCAGGACGCGGGAGCAGCCCGGGAAGGAATAGCGGGGAATTGCTCACACGGGAGTTGGACTCGGGTCTGGCAGAAGTCAGCCTGGTCAACTAAAGCAGGCACGTACCGACACCCCTGAATAGGTTCCACATTCTGCTGCCTACAGATCAACACAGAGAGAAGGGGGTTATACTCTGACCCCTCTGTGCGCCCCCAAAATAATAGGCAATTCTTTTTTCCATAGTACGGAAAACCGTCAAAGTGTTTCTGGGTTTCATTTTGTTGTTGTTTCTTGGGGTTGTCTTTTTTTTCTGTAACAGCATGTCGGAACAGGACAGTCTGCCTTCAGCACCTACCAAATTACAGTGCCCAACAGCCTGTGCAGGCCGGTGGTGGTGGTCATTCTACGATGGCATGCACGGGGAAAGGAAGGCAAAAGGAGGGGGGCGTGGGAGCCACGCAAATCTGAGTACTGCTGAAGCTAAAAAATTCTTCAGTTCCCAGCACTTAAGTATTCAAGCCACATAGAGACAAGCACTTCAAGGAGACTCTGGGGTTTTGTAGTTCTTGGAACAAGGAGAGCTAGAGAGCAAGAGAGAAGAGGGACAGCGTTACATGACATAAAACCAAACTCCTAGGTTTTATACGGGGGATCAAATCTCAAACGTAGGATGTGATCCTTGTGACTTGTTCCTCCTGCTGACAGGTACCTCGGGATTTTCTTTTCACGGGAAACATTTGTAGACCTTGCTAACACACTACCTTATGAGCCAACTCAAGTGGTAAATTCCTGGAAGTGTAACGGTTAAAGGAATATTTTGTCTCCCAGAGAAGTGAGCGCTAACACACAACACAACAAAATGCCTCTGGAAACAATATGACAGTTGTTTTGCCATAATGAAATTTGTGAAGGAAATTGGGAATGATTACTTGACACTTCAGATATTAATTAGCTGATCTTCCTTCAGTCTTCAGCAATCACAATTTGTTTCCATCTATTAACACAAATTTTAGTATGACTGGATACATGGTGATTTTGCCCATTCTTTTGACTGGGAAGTCATGTTGAATTTTTAAATTTAAATTTAAATTTAAATTTTTAAAAAGAAAATAAGAAAAACCTAGTAAAAAAAATTATCAGCTTTGTTATATTCATGTGTGCCTTTGGTGGGAGGGAGAAAGGGGAGAAGTGGGAAAAGAACATGTCATATTCTCCAGAACAGCTTTATTTCCCTTCTATAACAGCTCTTCCCTTTCTGTGAGAGTCGAAGTTCTTCTTTCCAAATTGTTAATGGAAGAAAAACGCTCAGCAGGGACCACAGCCCCATCGTGGAACAGATCAGGAAATGGAGTAAGCAGGTGGTCTGCCCACGTCACAAGCTTTTACGGCCACTAACGAGAAAAGATGTGTGCTGGTTTCAGCTGGGATAGGGTTAATTTTCTTCACAGTAGCTGGTATGGGGCTATGGTTTGGATTTGTGCTGAAAGCAGTGCTGATAACACAGGGATGTTTTAGTTATTGCTGAGCAGGGCTTACAGAGAGTCAAGGTCTTTTCTGCTTCTCACCCCACCCCACAAGCGAGGAGGCTGGGGGCGCACAAGAAGCTGGGAGGGAGCACAGCCAGGACAGCTGACCCCGACTGCCCAAAGGGGTATCCCACACCGTATGACGTCATGCTCAGCGTATAAAGCTGGGGGAAGAAGAAGGAAGGGGGGGACATTCGGAGCGATGACATTTGTCTTCCCAAGTCACCATTAGGCGTGACGGAGCCCTGCTTGCCTGGAGATGGCTGAGCACCTGCCTGCCCATGGGAAGCAGGGAATGAATTCCTTGCTTTGCTTTGCTTTTGTGTGAGCAGCTTTTGCTTTCCCTATTAACCTGTCTTTATCTCAACCCACGACTTTTCTGACTTGTACTCTTCCGCTTCTCTCCCCCATCCCACTGGGGGAAGTGAGCGAGCGGCTGCGTGGGGCTGAGTTGCCGTCTGGGGTTAAACCACAACGAGATGGCATCTAGAAAATTACCAAAATTAAAAGACACTGGATAAAAATAACACAGCACAGGGGCTAATCTCCAGCCAATCAGATGAGGTATAAGGAAAATGTTGTGAATACGATCAAGTTTTGATTTTGTTAAGAGCCATCTGTTTCCAGCAGTGGGACTGGCCAAGGCAGGGCAGCTCCTTCAGCCAGCGCCAGGCTGCAGGAGAGGTGACCTCTCAAAGCAGGGTTTATATGAGCCGTGTCAGAGACCATGATGAGGATTATGTATTCTGTAAGAAGTGTCTGTAAGAAATTAAAACTACCGCTACCAGTGAGAAGTTTAGATGAACTACTTTTATAATAGAGGGGGTAAAACGAGGA